GGAGCTCAAGAGTGGAAATTGGGTTTGATTCTCCAGCTCTTCCTGGTTCTTCAGCACGGCTGTCACCAGAACTGCTCTGGAGGTGGGCTGGGGTTTGAGGGATTTCCCCTGCTCTCTGCCAGCCCTTGACACTGACACTGAGGTAGATGTGGTAAGGAGAGCTTGCAAATGCAAAACGCAGGGAGTGTGTGGCCTCTGTGCTATTGTCTCCTCTTTCCCAGCAGAAGCTTTCCTGGGAAATGTAGGACCTGGAGATGGAGTGCTGATCACTTGCGTTGAGGAATGGTGTCCTGTCAGCGAGTACTGCGGAGCTGCGCAGGCATTTAAGGGTATCAGGGAGCTCCTGCAAAGGGGTGCTGCAGCGGGGACCTGCAGGTAGGTCGGGGAGCTCCGCAGGCGGCACGGGGGACCAGCGCCTGAGCATCCCCAGCCTGCAGCTTAGCCTGTGCAGTTGAAATGAACAGCCAGCCTCCCTGCCTGCTCCGGCAGACCCGCAAGCCCTGCTAATGAGGGAAGTAGAGGAGGAAAACTCAATTGGGTAAATTTCCCTGGAGCTTCCGGTGTGAGTCACCTTCCTGGCGCAGGAGGAGATTATCAAGGCAAGTGTGTTAACGTTGCTAATAGGCGGGCAATAAATGGGGATGCTAAGATAGGTCACTGCAGAGATCTGACTCGATCTGTTGTCAGAGTGAGTCTCCATCACCGTGAAATCTCACAGCGTGTCCTCCTGGCAGAGGCAAAGCCTGGGTGAGGGACGCACTGCTGGCCCCCTCGGCCAGGCAGGTGTTGTCTCCCCTTTTACCTCCTGCTGTGGCAGCAGGAAGGAAGTTTGCTGCTTCTTACATGTACGGAATACAGGAAATTATATGTTTGAGACAGAGCATTGCAATGTCCGAAATAACCGTGCTGCGTTATTCCCCAGTGTGAGATTTAATTAAGTTCTGTGACAGTGAATTTAATTATACCCCATACTGCAGTGCCCTGGATGGATATTTAATGAAGAAGTGGTGTCTGTCTGGAAGGGAGTTCTTTTCTTTGTCTTTAAAATAAGCATTCTTCATTGCCAGTAGTCCGTGTTGTTTCTTCCCCTTACTTTGTCTGCAAGCGGTAGGAATTTTAATAAACCTGCTAAACTGAAGCCATTGCTATCCCAGCAAGTAACTGTGTTTTTTAGCAAGAATGGAAGGCATAAAGCAAGTGGCTAAATTGGAGTTTGGGTTTTGCAGATGATGCCAGGGAATTGGAATGACCTTTTGGCGTTCTCTCATAAACACACAAATGTAATTTGTCTGGTATAAAAAAGGGAGGCAGCAAACTCGGAGGAGAGGCGATTCCTTCAGCTTCTCGCCTGCCTGTGTTTGGAAGAGGCTCCAGCATCACGAGGTTGGACGCTGCCCTCTTGGATGCCAGGAGACTTTTGACAATGCCGGAGACCACTTTGATCTCCAGCAACAGGATGCGGGGTGTTTGGTGTATAGTGTCTTTAAGCAAATGGGTCTTTAAATGTAGTACCCACCTGTGGTCCCCCTGTGTCAGCGGGACTCCTGGGAACGACACGCTGCTGACAACCGAGCCATTTTTTGTTGCTCTATTTAGGAGTCTAAAATTAGGTTTGAAAATTACGGCTTTGTGGACTTGCCTCTGCCCTAGATTTTCCGTGTGGTGGAGGGGAAGAGCTGCAGCTGACTTTGGACCATCGCTCCTACCACAAGCCGATCCTCCTCCATTTGCTTTGGGAAAGGCTCAGTTCAGGGCCCGGGCTTTGACTCATGACAGCAGGGTCAGCTGGAGGGGTTACGTGCGATGTTGAACTCCTGCAGGCTTGGGGCCTCTGGGTGCAAGACCCCCATTTGCAGACCCTGACTTAAATAACTCATATTCTGGATGTTCCCTTTTATCTGGGAGGGATGCATGCTTTTAATAGCTCTGTTGCTTATTAGCAAGCCACAGTGAGATTTTCGAGACCAGCTAGTGACTGCCAGTGTCGGCGGGGAGGGGAGGGACTGGGGTTTCCAGCAGAGGAGGTTTCCAGATGGCTGGGGGTACTTAGCACCTTCCGGTAATTGGCATCTTCTTGGCACCTCGTGCACATAAGAATGGGAGCAGCGTGCATCAGTCACGCTTCTGAAGATGGGACTCTTCCAAATACCCTGACACTAATTCACAGATAAACTATAATTACTGGATATTCACTGGATGCAGAGTGCTTTTACTCTTTAGATTCCTTGCTTCACTCTTTGTATTCAATTCTAACTTTTGATAATCTAAGGTTAAACTTTTCAAGTATGTAGGTTGTCCAGTTAGCTTTAATTAGAAGACCTCTCTGTGTCGTGGGCTTCTTTAGCAACCCAGCCAAGAAGCTGACGGGATGTTGTTTTCCCTGACTGTGTGCACAAAAATGCATAGAGTTATTTGAGGAAATCTGAAAGAAACTGCTCGGGTTTTGGGTTTGTTTTTTTTTTTGGCGGGGAGAGGGGGGTGTCTATACTTAGTTTAAACACATCTTCAAGCTATAATACATGCTTCCTAGCCAAGAAGATTCTACAGAGAGATGTGGGGTGTAATTACAAGGGAGGCAGGAAGGCAGTGCATGCACATCTGCAGTAGCATCCAACTGCTGGATTTCTGAGTAGGAGTCGACCTGATCTGCAGCCAAGCTTAGATGTTCAGCAGCTCCCCAAGTTGTGGCCTCTCCCGTGAAATGCCACGTTCATGCTGTGGGAGGTAAGCGACTGGATCTGCTTCATCCTGCTTGGCAAGAAAAGTGAAAATACAAACTGATAATAGGATTTCAGCAGACCAGGGGGTGGAGGGAGGAAGATGCCATGAGTTTTTACACTCGCAGTGAGATTTCTCGTAAGCATGCTGAACTTTGGCTGTTGCGGTTGTGAAATTGGAAACTTTTATTATATAACTGTGGTGTAGCTATTTCGTAATAAAATGTCCTTTTTGAGGGAGACTTTGGTTCACTGAGGTCAGAATAGTGAAAATGAGCTACTGAAGACAAAATGGGGAGGGTGGGTCATGGTCAAGGTGAACCTAAAACCTGAAATACTCGTGCTAGGAAGCCCTGATAATCTGCGTTCTGAAATATCAAAGTTGATTGGAAATTGCAAATCCAGTGGCAGGTGTCTTTAATAAATCTATCAAATTGAGATAGATTGACAGGTGATACTGTATGATTGGAGAATGCAAATCTAAGCAATTCGTGTACCCACAAATGTTGATTGTATAATTTTACAGGGGAGTTAGTTTAGCGCTAACACAGAGCTAGCTCAGTGCGGAGAATGCAACAGCCACTTACCCACATCCAGTGATGCAGGTTTTGTTGAAAAATAGTTAAAGTCAAGCTATAAAACACTTCTGGCTACGGAGCAGGCCCAGCTTTTGTGCACTCTGCCAGTCTTAATGTGAAACAAGTCCCCACAATGGGGGAGGGCATTATGTGTTAGATCCACACAGTGAGTTGGCTGGGCTGGGGACAAATACTGCCAGTGGAAGGGCAAAGCGATATTGTCTATAATGCTAGATTCATCCCTGTGTGTTTGCAGGATAAATAAATGAAATTGTGTGATGTTCCTCATCATGGTCTCTGGAACCCAGGTTGGGTGACCCATGGACAAACATCGACCTCAAATGAAAATGCAGCAATTCTGAAATAGTGTGAGGATTTGCTGTACTGTATGTGTTCATGTTTATAATCATGCATTTTATCTTGTTAAGGATTTGTAGAAAATTAAAGGAAATCAAAATGCTAGTTTACTTTTAAACTTCATTGTCACAGGCAGACTGGAAGAGGAAGACATCTGTATTTTGGTTTTAATGTTTAGAAATGGAAAAAACGGAGCCCAGATGTGGATTGGCAGCCCTGTTGATGATGTCTTTTCAGCTCCCAGAGCAGGAAGAATATCAGACAGGATTTCTGAAGTGGTGTAAATAAGGGCCCTGGGGCATTTCTCATGCTGCAGGACTGTTTCATTTTTTAAAATACTATGTAGAATTAAAATGTATATGGTTTTGTTAACTCTACTGCAGAGCAAAGAATGTCAAGTCTCATGTTTGGCAGGGGAGCCAGGAGAGGGCAGATCTCCGAGGGGGCAGAAGGTATTTAAGACGGGCATTACCCGAAGCCAGTTGTGCTGCCAAGGTCTGCCCACTCCATAGTCAGCTGAGAGGAGGAAAGAAAAACCCTACAAGCACGACAGCAATGTGAAAAAATGCAGCTAGATAGCGGAAGCATAAATAGGTTGCTGTGGTTTTGTTCTCTGTGGGATGGATGTGAAAGCCTTTGCTAGGGATTATCAGGATCCGCTTGGGCACAGAGGTGGAAGGGCTTGGAACAAGTACTTCTGGCTTTGTCAGGATTGGGTTTCTCACTTGGTTTAAGAAAAGAGGAGAACAACTCACTGCTTCCCTGTCCTACCACCTTGCCAGCATCTCCAGACTCTGTTCCTTCTGCTGGTGCCATGGTGTCCCGCAGGAGTACGCTGGCACCACTGGAGACCTTCTACATACCTTTGATCAGCTAGTCGGGGGAAAAAACCCGTCACCTCATTTCTCCTTCCTGAGTTTGAACTGGTTATTTGTAGGGATCCCATTCCCCCTTTCCAGACCTCCTGTCTATCTCCAGAGTTTGATGCCCTTCGAGTGGTGTGAGGTCCTCTGGAGCCATGGCGTGCTGGGAGTGTTTGGAGCGAGGGCTGAGCATCTGTGTGCTGCTGCTGGCGCTCGACCTGCACAGGGCCTTGAGGGCAACACGCTTCTGCTGCTGACCGACCACAGCTGAGGACGTGCTTCTGGTGGGGTAGTGCTGTCACAGCACTGTTCACAGCGTGTGCAGACCGCTCTTGTGAATGTGGCTTGGAGAAAGGATTAAGATGCATATGCATGGAGTATTTGGAAGTCACGCAGTTTTACTCTTCCCTCCAAAATGTATTTTCCTTTCAGAAACGCGTATTGTGAGCATAACAGTCTCAACTCTTCTTCATTTTGTCTTCCAGAGTAAGGAGATTGGCTTACAGATGCATGAAGAACTCCTGAAAGTCACCAACGAGCTTTACACGGTGAGTAATGAGCTGATCCTACCCATGTCTAGCCTGTGCAGCGAGGGGAAAGTAGGCAATGTCATTTGCTGGAACAAAATGTCTGTTCAACGTTTCAGTGACTTGAGGAGGCTCACTCTCTCTCCTGCCATCCTGTGGTACGGCCCGTTCGTTCCTCTTGCATTTGTTAGAAACGTTTCACTCTTCACTGGTTTTGACAGCAGCAGAGGAGGATTTCCCAGCAGTCCTACCGTGAAGGGCTTCTGTGGCCGCATCAGGCAGCAGATCGTGCCGTCTAACTGTTTCATTTAAGCATAAACGGAGATGTTTTGGGCATGATCCGGTGCGATGCCTGGTGTCTGTAATGGTCTCACCTGCCGGGCCTTCTGCACTGTGTTGCCTTCAGGCCCCTTTCAGTTTTCACTCGGTTGGTGATTTCTGCCAGGTGCTAATGGCTCAGAAGCCGTGCTTTGAGTTGGCAGTGCCAATTTGTGGCTGAAACCTGACCTGCTCATGTGAGTCTGGTGGCCTGTGGATGACGACTGAACATGACCTTCTGCTGAGGAATGCATAAAACTTCTAGCTCGTGTGTGTACTCAGCTTCATCTCCCTGCTCCAAGGAGCACTGGTTGCGGAGCTGTCTCTGTGCCTCCGGGTGAAATTGTACGCTGTTATTCAGGACATTGCTCTTCAAGCAGGTTTTCGTAGTAGGGCAGTTAAAGTCTTTGTGTTGCTTCTGTCTCTTGCCCTGTAGCAATTGTTTTTTTATTTTATTTGTGGTTTAGGATCAACAAAGCAATATAAAGTCTGTCTTGTGTTGGAAAATTGAGACGATACATTTGCTTTCTTTGGTTGTATCTGTTACTGATACATAAATAACACTGCAATAGGTTTATTCTTAAGCAATCATTTTATTCCATCTTTTTGAAAAATAGACCTAAACAACACAGCATGAATGATGTTATTTGAAATTTCTGCCATAAATCTTCTCTTAACAGGTTTGTTTCTGCATTGGTTGTTGAAGGATTCAGTTTTTGTGAAACCTGCAGTGTGGGTGGACAGCCAGGTTGGATTAAAAAGCCTGTGTGAGATTTGGGAGTGTGTTGTTGATGGTTGAATGTCACAAGCTGTGGTGGTGACTAATTAAGATTAATTACAACGGCAGCATGACAGATGCAAAACAAAGAAAGATTAACAAGGGCTGGGCTAACCGTAATACCTGCACACCAGTGTACTCAGAACCCAAACACGGGACAGGAGCATCACCTGAGGGACGTGGTTAGGTCAGTTTGAGGATCAGAAGTGTGCTGAGGTCTGAAGTGTGTACAGTTGGCCAAGGAAGAGCATAGAGTAATTTTGTTCCCGCTGAGTCTGTGGCAAAACTCGTCTTCACTGGAACTGAGATTTCCCCCCGTTCATTGCTTTGCTCCCACATGCTGAGCAGAATGTGTTTGAATGGTGAAGCAGACTGGAATGGCTGGAAGAGCTTTGTGTTTTCTTTGAACTGACCTTGCTGCTAAGATAACAAACTGTGTCATCTGGCTGGGAAGGAGCAGGGAAGAGACACGCTTATTTCAGAAACGATGATGAAACATGAAGAAAAAGCAGGCCCTGTCTGGCAAACAAGATCATCTTAAATCTGTTCAGTGCAAACCAGCTCCCCTCCAGTCAGTAGTTTTCTGTTGCTGAGACATCAGGTAAAACAGGCTTAATTGCATACTTGGCTTGCAGGTTGATCCAGTGTGCTGGTGTTGCTCTGGGACATCTTCAGGACTGACCTGGAGTTGGTGTGTTCATTGCAACGTGTTGGGTACCCAAGAGCAGCACATTCAAGAACTGTGGCTGCTGACAAAATCAGATACAGAATAAGGACCCCTGTCTCAAAGGACACCAAGCTGCTTCTTGTAAAATGTCATCTGTCTGCTGTCAATGCAAGGAAGTCGTTATCTTGCCTATGGCCAAGCCTTGTATCCATAGTACATCTGTGCTCTGGCTAGGCTGCTTTTTAAGCCTTTCAGAGGGGAATTCTGTCCACTGTGTGGAAACTATATAATTTTTTTGCAGGCTTCTCAGGCATTCACTGTCTCAAACTTAAGCCAAAATAACTAAATTGATTTTAATTCAGCCTTGTTGCTGTTCTGATACAAGTCACCCTGTGGACTCTCTGTGTGGAAAGAACTAAACCCAAAACCCACGCTGATTTTGATTAAAAAGGAAGTAGATGACTTTCATTCTGAAGTAAGAGTTGCTTGTGACCAGCTTTGCACAGAAATAATTTAGCTGTGAATTAAAGCCAGCTTCATTCTTTTGATTCCTGCTTACAGACTCCAGCAGACAGATATCAAGTTGGAGTACGTAAAGGTTGGAGGTTCTTTGTTCCTCTGCTCACAGGTCCCTTTCTGTATTGTATGCATTCCTATCTGAAGAATTCAAGCCAAAATTAGGGTAAGAAAAACAGTAACCCCAGAGCACCGTTCTGGTAGTGTTTTCTGTAGGCTCTGGCAATGATGTGTGATTTGGTGTATGGCACTAACAACGGGCTATTTGATGTACGGGCTTTGTTTGCCATAATGCAGGGACACGGCTATAGCTGAAGGCAGCACGTTGAAGCGCATAGAAGTACTGTGATGTGAACCGGTGCGATTCTTTGTCGCAAGGTATTGTAGAAGAGGATTAATAGCTGTGAAATGAATTGTATTAATTAGAATAATATCTACAGATACATTACCCAGGTTAAAAATAACAACAATAGTCGTAATTCCCTGTGTAGCAGGACATGAATTGGCTGGAGGAAATTTTCCCTTTCCATCGGGAGCGCTGCAATGGGAGAGGCCATGCTTCCGTGGTTAGCAGGTGTTTTCTTGTCACGCTGTAGAAATCGTTGACTGTATCACACGGTAGAAATGCATTGATACGTTGCTCTGTGTCATGCCGTAGAAATCTCCTCTGAAAAGGATGCGTTTGCTTTCATGCTCCCGTAAAAGACCAGGGAGATGGAGGTCAGCGTCCATCAGTCTGATGGACTTGTCCCTTTCTCAGACCTTACGCCATGGGTGTCCCTTAGGTTGTACCGTAGGCTCCATCCAAAGAGGAGGGGGCTGGCCTCTTCGGCAGGCTTTCACCTGTGGCCATGCGCGTCTCTGCTTCACCCTGTGTGCTGGGCTTGTGTTTGGTCTCCTCAACTTCGGGAGGGCCTGAGCCTGTGCTTAACATGGGTCACCCGGTTTCTGATCTGGCTCCTCTGCAGGGTCAGAACCTTAATGACGAGCTGTTTACAAATATAAAGCACTTCTAGTTGAAGACAGCAAACAGTGCCATTTATGGCCTGTATTTTGGCAATGGCCTTTATCCAGAACGTGTTATTAATATTGGAAAACACAACTTGTGTTGTTAAATAACTAATGAACATTGGAACGTATTTTTCTTCCTCCACTGCAGCTAATTAACTTATTTGCAGAAAAGATCCCAGGGACACAGCTGTGGCAGTTTTTCTTTATGACACAATAGTGTAAGACAGGGACAGTGTGACTTGATTGCAAGTGCCGAGAAGGCACAAGGGAATTGCAGATCAAAGGGCTGATTGCTGCAGTGCAGGTAGTCCCCATTCAAAATTAAGGCAGATATTAAAACAAACAGAAATATCCCCCAAATTTTCAAGTGCGAGCTGTGCTGCATGGCAGCTGATGAGGAACACAGTCGACACAGCGAGCTGTTTAAGGCATCTGTTTCAGCAACATGGATGCCAAAGTCTGGGGAAAATATTTTAACACGATCAGCTTAGGTCCTTTGCACTTTGTTAAAGAGACTTTTGGAGAAGTTTTAAACCTGGTTCCCATGTTACCTTTTCAGGTTCAAGCAGGGATAAATTATGGAGGAGGAAAAAGGGCCTTCGTTAGGGAAAGTTTCTCTGGTCATTAGCAAATAAGTCAGTAAGAGCCCGTGCAAAGGTACCAGACAGCAGGGGGGCTCGGACCCCCCTTGCAGCACTCTGAGCGGTGGAGTCCTGCCTTGCGCTCCGGCTGCCGACGTTCCCCTGCGGCCATGGGGGCTGTTGGAGCCAATGGGCTACAGCAGCGTGTCCCCGGGCCTGCGGCAGAGCAGCGTAGCTGTGGGTGAACGGAGACAACCGATGAATTGTGCTGAAGTTTTTCTGGTTAGGTAACCTTCTCATAACCTTCTCCTTTCGCAAAAAACCCACACAATTTGGACCACTGTTTAATTGTTGGGCTTTTCTGCTGCATTGCGTTATGGCCTCTCTGGGTGCTGGGGAAACCTCTCTCATTACTCCCGGATTGCGCTGAAGTGCAGGACTTTTCTTTTTCACTTTCCTATTAGTTTTTCCCAAAAAGATGGAGACAGTGAAGATGAGGAGGGCTCAGTGAAGCCCTCTAGTCTTTCTCCTTAGGAAAAACCCAGAAATTGTCTGCTTCGTGTGTGTCCTCTGACGTTCAATGCAGAAACTGCAGTTTGAAATACATGGCTCGAATCTGTGTTAGAATTTGCAGGGTTTTGAAATAAAGCAGCTCAGAAACAAGGCACAAGCCTTTGCTTACTATTCCTTGCAGTTGCCTAAAATTGTAACTCCCAGCGATGGCACATTTGTGCAGGCTTCGATGCGGCATTTGGAGCTCGTTTGCAGCTGACGTTTGTGCTTGGCAAGAGGAGAGATCATATGTTTCAGCCTAACC